AAGTTATTCAGTCTAATGAAAAATATAAGCTGTAACATGGGTGGTTTCTAATAAATTTTCTAAATCATGCTTTTCTTGTCTGTGACAAATGTTCATCATAAGAGTCTGATCTTTGCATTAAAACCATTTGATGACCTAATTGTCCTTCTTCCCAGATCAGATCACCCCCAATTACCTGAATATAGATTTGGCTCTGTTAGTTCTGATCTTTGGACTTGTACCTTAAACATGGCATGGGCACCTGTCTAAATGCCTCAGGCCACCCCCAACAACTACCAGCCAGACCTAATCCAGCCTGTAGCCCCACCCTTCTGAGACTACCTGTGGTCCCGGGACATGTTCAGCAACATGGAGCCAGGTGTCATCAAAGTTGCAAAGAAATATAAGAAATGTGGTAGAGCCGAAACCAGTTTAGCTCAGTGGACAGAATGTCGGCCTGCAGACTCAAGGGTCCCGGGTTCTATTCCAGTCAAGGGCATGTACATTGGTTGCGGGCACATCCCCAGTAGGGGGTGTGCAAGAGGCAGCTGATCGATGACTCTTTCTCATCGATGTTTCTAACTTTATCTCTCTCCCTTCCTCTCTGTAAAAATATCAATAAAATATATTTTTTTTAAAAAGTAAAAAGAAAAGAAATGTGGTAGAGTTATGCAGAAAGTATTGGACTTAAATTGGGATATATGCAAAAGAAAGCCAGGGAACCAAGGAGAGAAGAGAACATCCCTTAAGCATCTCTATATTCCAAGTGCTTTACAATTAAGACATTTAATCTCTACTACCCTTTAATGAAGCCATTATTATCTTAATTTCTATAACTGTGACAATAGAGGCTCCAAGAGGTTAGGTACCTTTTTCAAAGTCACTTAGGTTTCAATTTCTTAGGAAAAGTCTGTGGGGTAATTACATACATGGGTGGGTGCATGAGACAGTGGTAAGAAAGAGATTGGAAAACTAGATTTCACCCAGATAATAGAAAGCCCTATTAAGCCCTGTCCTTTTCACGTAGCCTGGCTTATGTCTTTGTTATCTCTGTAACCAAGGACAAGTATACTTCTCTCCACCTGAATTTCCTTGTCATTAAAATGGAGGGCAGGGGGACTGATTTCATCAGACCTACCACAAAAAGTTCTGTTAAAACTAAAGGAGACAAACTCTCCTGGATGTCGTGTGGGACAGTCAGAATAGCTGGGAGCTTGTAGTCAAAGGAAAGAGGCAGGTGGGAGGAGCCAGAAGAAAGAGGTGGCCAGAAAAAGGTCCAGAGAGTGGCCACAGAGGGGCCTCGTTTTAGTATCCGGGGCCTCATCCTCTGTGACAGTTTCCTATGAGCCTCGCTCAGCATGGCCAGGGTGATCCTGAGGGGTGGGGGTGGAGGGGAAGTGAAGGATTAAAGAAGACAGACAAGAGAATAAAGCTGGGGCTAGATAGGACATTGTTCTCAGATGGAGAGACAGTGCAACAGCCTGCAAGCCGAGTCTTTATTTTATAGCCAGATTCCATGAGGCAAAGTAAGGGCATGGTCAAGATGTTTACAATGTTCTCGAGGGTTTCGAATCTGCTCAATTACATGCACCTGGCCGCTATCAAGCTTTGTTTTGACAGCACTTGCTGCACCTCCTGCAGCCTGTATCACTTAGCCACCTGGGACCACAGGTTTGGACCATAAAGTAAAGGTTACAACTATAGCCTTTGGCTATACTTGTTCTGGGAAGGCTTTGCCTTCCAGGCTGGGACTTGCACGTGACTTTGCCATGAGAGGACCGTGCCCTCTCATTAGTCTGAGGCTTGAACCTGTCCAAACATTGTAGCCGCTCTCCACATTCCTATAAAGCAGTGGTTCTCAACCTTTCTAATGCTGCACCCCTTTAATACAGTTCCTCATATTGGTGACCCCCAACCATAACACTATTTTCGTTGCTACTTCAGAAATGTAATTTTGCTACTGTTAATGAATCGTAATGTAAATATCTGTGTTTTCTTAGGCGACCCTGCTAGTGGTTCTCAACCTGTGGGTGTTGACCCACAGGTTGAGAACTGCTGCTGTAGAGCCTAAGACCATTGGAAAACACAGATATTTACATTACGATTCATAACAGTAACAAAATTACAGTTATGAAGTAGCAACGAAAATAATTTTATGTTTGGGGGTCACCACAACATGAGAAACTGTATTAAAAGGTCTCGGCATTAGAAAGGTTGAGAACCACTGCTATAAAGGGTCATATAGTAAATGTTTGCAGCTTTGCGTGGTCTCTATTGCACAACTTCACTATGCCCCAAGCAGTCACAGACAGTAGGTAAATGAGTGGGCATTATGGGGTGCCAATAAAACTATTTATGGGCATTGGGGGAAGGGAGAGACCAACAAATACTAAAAAAATTTGTTAGTTCCAATGAATTAATGTAAAGAAGACATTCATGCCATGCAACTTCAATTCATTTTTTTATTGTTTCTAGTTGCAATAATGTGCAATCCAGCTGGGAGGCAATATCATAAACACAACCTATTTAGAATAACCACAGAAATGTAATCCAAGGTTTAGCTGTCTTGATGTCCCAAAGTCCTTTAGCCTACTGGAGAATCCCTCATCCTTTAAGATTTAATAGATATGGTCTTAAACATCCACCCTATATCAAATGAGAAGAGCACAGTATTGTCTCCAATATTTCTAAGGTTTCTTGGACACTTTACCTCTTGCCTTATAATCTATGACTCTATTTTTACTCCTGCTGACTGCTTTGTCTCTGCTGACTGATCCATTTACAACATACCATCTACATTGAACACCACCTAGTTTCTTGAGTTCTTCAAAATACTACTGGCACTAGATCATCTGTAGAGCAGAATTTTACTGAAGATTTGAGGGCAAAACTAGTGGGGTTACAGTAGGTTAATGTTAGGTATCCCTGTTCTTAAAATCAATCAGTTCAACTTAATGGCAAGCGAGATGATTGCACTCAACAGATCTTTACCTGATGTTAGGCTAGAAGGGTGTAAAACAAAGGTGTATACAGATAATCTTCCTACAACAAGTGTGGTGATTGTTTTCCACAATGAGGCCTGGAGCACACTTCTGCGATAGTGTCATAAATCCATAGTGTCATAAATCGCTCACCAAGACACATGCTAGAAGAAATTGTTCTAGTAGATGATGCCAGTAAAAGAGACTTTTTGAAAAGACCTCCGGAGAGTTCATGAAAAAATTAAAAGTGCCAGTTCATGTAATTCGAATGGAACAACGTTCTGGATTGATTAGAGCCAGGTTAAAAGGAGCCGCAGTGTCCAAAGGCCAAGTGATCACGTTCTTAGATGCTCACTGTGAGTGCACAATGGGGTGGCTGGAGCCTCTCTTAGCCAGGATCAAACAGGACAGGAAAACGGTGGTCTGTCCCATCATCGATGTGATCAGTAATGATACTTTTGAGTACATGGCGGGTTCTGATATGACCTATGGGGGATTCAATTGGAAGCTCAGTTTTGGCTGGTACCCTGTTCCCCAGAGTGAAATGGACAGAAGGAAAGGTGACCGGACTCTTCCTGTCAGAACGCCTACCATGGCTGGAGGCCTGTTTTCAATAGACAGAGATTACTTCCAGGAGATTAGGACATACGATGCTAGAATGGATATCTGGGGAGGAGAAAACCTAGAAATTTCCTTTAGGATTTGGCAATGGGGAGGCACCCTGGAGATCGTTACTTGCTCACATGTTGGACATGTGTTTCGGAAAGCGACATCTTACACGTTTCCGGGAGGCACAGGACAGATTATCAATAAAAATAACAGACGCCTCACAGAAGTGTGGATGGATGAATTCAAGAATTTCTTCTATATAATTTCTCCAGGTGTTACGAAGGTAGATTATGGAGATATAACATCAAGACTTGGTCTAAGACACAAACTCCAGTGCAAACCTTTCTCTTGGTACCTAGAGAATATTTATCCTGATTCGCAGATTCCACGTCACTATTTCTCTTTGGGAGAGATACACAATGTGGAAACAAATCAATGTCTTGATAACATGGCTAGAAAAGAGAATGAAAAAGTTGGAATCTTTAACTGTCATGGTATGGGAGGTAATCAGGTTTTCTCTTACACTACCAACAAAGAAATTAGGACGAATGACCTTTGCTTGGATGTCTCCAAACTCAACAGCCCAGTCACAATGCTCAAATGCCATCACCTAAAAGGCAACCAACTTTGGGAGTATGATCCCCTGAAACTGACCCTGCAGCATGTGAACAGCAACCAGTGCCTGGACAAAGCCATGGAGGAGGACAGCCAGGTGCCCAGCATCAGAGACTGCAGCGGAGCCCGGTCCCAGCAGTGGCTTCTCCGCAATGTCACCCTTCCGGAAATATTTTGAGACCAAATTCACACACAGAAACAATAAGGGTTGACTGGGCTACCTCAGCACACATTTATGCCACATTCTTAAGTAGCAAAAAGGGGACAGTGCTCCCTCCTGCAGGTGGGGGTTCTCAGCCAATAAGATTAGACTCACTCCTCTCGTGCTGTGAACCAGCCTCCTGCCACATAGCGAGACTGGGCACACTGTTGTTTACAAGATCAAAGAGGCTTTTGTCAAGAGTCATTGTAAAGACTATTCCGACAGTGAAACAATCAACATGTGCTTCCGGAAAGCTGCACCTCTGAGGGTCTGCTCACACAGCAGTGATTTCCATTGGAAATGCTGTCACGATAAAGAATTCCCAAGACAGAACTGGTAGCCAGTATATATATATGTGTGTGTGTGTGTGTGTGTGTGTGTGTGTGTGTGTGTATTTTTAAATATATATATTTTATTGATTTTGTACAGAGAGGAAGGGAGAGAGGTAGAGAGTTAGAAACATCCATGAGAGAGAGTCATTGATCAGCTGCCTCTTGCACACCCCCTACTGGGGATATGCCCGCAACCAAGGTACGTGCCCTTGACCAGAATCGAACCAGGGACCCTTCAGTCCCCAAGCCAACGCTCTATCCACTGAGCCAAACCGGTCTTGGCCAGTATATTAAAGATTGTTATAAAAATATATGAAAAGAACTGGAACCAGATTCAGAATCATGAAAACAACATTTTTACAAAAAAATAAACTATATTAAACAGGGTTTAAAGGAAATTAGAACTATAAGAAGTACAATTTGTTATAGTATAGTATCAAATTTCTATACAGATTTTATACCTCGGTGGGGAAAAACAACTGATTCCAGTGACGTTCATTTTGTTTTCATCTGTGATAGTCGTGGATGCTTTTTTATTTCTCCTTGGGGTGCTGAAATTGAGCTGGGGAAAAAGGCTCTTTGAAAGTAGTTTTAATTGCTTTCTATGATTTTTAAAATATGGTTTGTGTGCTGTTGGAATTGTAATTTTATTTTTATTTATTTATTTATTTATTTTTTCTTAAATATATTTTGGGATTCATTTTGCTTGGGACTCTGCAAGCATCTTGGATTTGTGTGGGTTTTTTCTTCTCTATCACAGGAAAGTTTTCTGTCATTATTTCTTGAAATACTTTTTCCATGTCTACCTCAGTTTCCTTTCCTTCTGGAACCCCTATTATTCGAATATTATTTTGTTTTGTATTGTCCCAAAGCTCCCGTAGGCTCTCCTCCTGCTTTTTAATCTTTTTTTCTAGAAGCTGCTCTACTTGGGTATTTTTTTTTCATCTTGTCTTCTAGCTCACTGATGCGGTCCTCTGCTTCATCTAGTCTACTCTTGATGCTTTCTATTGAGTTCTTCATGGTAGCGATGTCATTTTTCATTTCTTCTTGGTTCTTCTTCAATTCCTCTTGATTCTTCTTCAATTCCTCATGGTTCTTCCTCATTTCTTCTTGGTTATTGTCAAATTTCTCTTCCATTCTTTTTAGCCATCCTATGATCATTATTCTGAATTCTTGCTCTGGTAGGTTGCTTGCCTCTGACTCATTTACTTCCTTTTCTGGTGATGCCTGCTTTTCTTTCATGTGCGGGCTATTTTTTGGTCTCCCCATGGCCTCTCTTTTCAGGGTGTCTGGTTATGTGGTGTTCCTTCTCCTGCATTGATTTAAATGTACAAAATACAACCCTTTCCGTGGATGATTGAAGAACTCCCTTGAATCCACGTGTTCATGCCGATTGGGGCGTCACAGCTGCTCGATGGACTCCTCTGCTGTGGGTTTTCTAGGCCTCAGAGAAGATCCTCCTTTCCTAGTAAGATGGTGTAGCCTTCTCTCCGAGCCGCAGCTCAGGGAGAGCCGCCGCGGCAGTGCTGGCCGCTTGGTCAGGAAATCCTGTCCAGCGGACCCTTCCTTACCTTCCTTGAGAGTTCCGCTGCCCCTTAGCTGCCGATCAATCTTCCCTGAGCAACTCAGATGCAGCTTTTATCTGTTCTGGGACCGAAGTCAGAACAAGTCCGTCTGTTCGGTCACCATCTTGTCTCCACCCTCCATTTTCTTTTTCTGGAATTGTAATTTTTAATTGCCTTCCAAAAATGGAAGCCTCTGGGCATTGAGATTTCAAGTATAACCCTTTGCCCCAGAAAGCCAGTCGGGTAATTATGACAATGATATTGCTGATGTCAGTGGCTTTACATAATGCTCCAGAATTTCACAGTTTATTTGTGTCAGGAGTTGAAATCAGAAAGGGACTTGGCCTGGGGAGAAGAGCTGGGCAAAGACAGTTTCAGAGCAAAGATGTACTGATTCCATGTTTTCCAAAAGTGTTTCAGTGCAAGAACCGTTTTCCAAGGAGGCGGCTCTGCAGAGCCTTCCATGGGAAGGGCTGTCACAGGCTGCTCTGTTGAAGTGTCTGAGCCTGCCTGTCCTGTGTCCCCAGCCCACAGGGGACAACTGGGTGGCCACATAGAACCCCAGCGGACACAGTTGGAGAAGCACTGACTGTGCTCAGCCCTCATTTACAGGGGACACCCTGAGGCCCAGAGAGGTGGTGGGTGTGATGAAGGCGCACACCTGGGATGGAGGCTGGGAGTGCTCCTCAGCCCTGGGCCCTGTGGCTCTCCACCTGCAGACTGACCTCCTGGACAGAGCAGCTGCAGGCGGAGCAGGAGGAGCTGCTCACCAAGATCGAAGATCTGCAGGCCTCCGTAGAGAACGAGCAGGAGAATTTTCAGATCTTCCAGAACATGTACTACAAGATGATGGCAGAGCAACGGTCTAAGGAAATCAATCTGCCAAAGCTCAGTGCCCAGTGCAAGGTGAGGCCTGGGGCTGGTGGGCCTCAGGACACCGGGCCTGAGCCCTGTGCTGACAGGCGGGGGCTCAGCCAGGTCCGCATGGGTCCTCATTGGCATCTGTGCCCAAACACTGTGTGTGAATGTCACCCAGAGGCCGGGAGGCAGCCAAAGGCGTTTAACGGGCACAAGCACCTTGGCTGGTGGGGATGTGTCAGAAAAGACCTTTCACAGGACCTTTGCTGTTTTCTTTTTTTAAGCACATTTTTTTTTTTTTTTTAATTTGAGAGAAAACAAGGGAGAGGGAGAAAGAGAAACATCAATGATGACAGGGAAGCATCATTCAGCTGCCTTCTACACCACCCCCGCGGGGGATACTGCCCGCAACCTGGGCATATGCTCTTGATCGGAAAGGAACCCAGGGTCCTTTAGTCAGAGGTCCGATGCTCTATCCATTTCACTAAACTGGTTAGGGCCTGACCTTTGCTTTTTCAGGGTCAGGGCGGTGCATGGAAATAGCCAAGTGCCGTTTTCTCTGTCCTCTGGGCTGAGCTCTGTGCTCTGTGCTCCCGTGTCATCACATTGAATTCTCGAGATGCCTTTGTGAGCTGGGGGGCCCGTCCTCAGACCTCTGAGGCAGTGGGTCTGGACTCCGTTTGATTGAAGCCAAAGCTTGGGCTTTCCTGCCCCTCCCACCGGGTGATATTCAGGATCAGGAGTTGAACCACCTCAGCCCGAAATTCCTATCCAGCCCGTCATTTGTTTTATTGATGTCAGAGGGAGGAAGGGAGAGGGTGAGAGGAATGGAAACATCAGTGATGAGAGAGAATCTGTGATGGCTTCCTCCTGCATGCCCCCTCCTGGGGATCAACCGCTCCTCCTGGGCATGTTGCTTGAATAGGCATCTCACCAGTGAACTTCTGGTGCCTGGGAGGCCGCTCCACCCACTGACCCACACCTGCCGGGCAGCTTATTAATGAGATCGTTTACGTTTCTTTTGAAAATGGCTGTGAAATCCCCAGAACCTGCTGTACATTTTGCACTTAGGGTGCCTCTCAGCTCAGACTGGCTGCGTTTCAGTGCTCAACGGCCACATGTGGGCAGTGGCTGCCTGATTAGCCGGTGCCCTTGGGCCTCCCCATGTCATTGGCTGTGTTGGTCCTGCCAACGTGTGTGGCTCCTACCAAAAAGGCTCTCTTGTGCACGTGGCCTTTCTTCTCTAGGAGCAATTTCCCAGCAGTGGAGCCACAGGGACCGTGGTGGGGGACACATTGTTGATCTCTGTTTCAGTCGCTCACCCTCTTGACTAAATACATGGAGGAGGAGAGCAGGCAACTGTGGAGTCAAATTAACATGGTGAAACAGCTGAGCAAGACTCTCCTGGAAGAGCATGGGGGGACCTGGCCTCGGAATAAGTAACGGGGTGGGGTGACCGACGCCTGTCCCCACGGCTGCGGGCTTCCCGCTCCACGCCCAGCCTCCACATTCAGGGCAGAGAGCCCCCTGGCGCACTTCCGTGCCCAGGGCAGGGCAAGGGAACAGACCATCTTCCCAGTGCCCCCGCCTCTCCTTTCCCAGGAATGGTCTAGATTTTTGCAAGGAGGGGTGATTGCATTTTGCTGGCTTCCAAGACATGGCCCACTGCCGGCCCCTTCTTCCTCTGCTTTTGAGTTAAGCTCCGTTTAAAAAATATGAGAGGTGAAGAGAGGCACCTAGGGGAGAGATCCAGGTTCGCGGGATGAGCTCTTTCTGTGTCTGACTTCCCCTGAATGATCTGGAGAGGGGGTTGTGGGTGCGCCGTGATTGTCCTCCCTCTGCTGACATGACACGGACCTGACTGTGGTATAGGCAATGCGAGGGTCACAGGACTTGTGACCCGGTGGCCACGCACCAGCAGGGGTGATGGGATGTGAGCAGTGTGTGCACAGCAGACAGATGGTGAGGAGCTCCATGGAGGTGTAGAAGGAAGCGTGGTGGTGAGCATCGGGGTTCTGCTGCTGACCTGGATGGAGCCAGGGCCACCCAGTGGGGCGGGACGTTGGGGGTGGGGGGGGAGGCCGAAGATGGAGCAGGGGTGGTCTGCGTGCAGGGAAGGCGCACGCAGTGGCAGGAGGGAAGGCTGGAGCAGGGGGCACTGAGATGTGGAAGGCGTCCATGCCTCGCTAAGGAGTGGGATTCACTAGGAGTGAGTGTTTATGGGAGGCTGGTCTAGAGACCGAGGGAGCTGCCTGAAATGAGGCAGGAGGGAGCGGCTCGGTGCTGGAAACCTGGTGGTTGGAAGTCAAGTAACCCGAGAGGCATCTGGTGGGCCCAGGGTGGCCTTCACCCCTCGGTCCTAGTGCTGCTGGACTGTCCTTCCTTGTGGTGGGGTATGGCTGGCCCTGAGGGACAGGAACAAGGTCACAGTGACCACAGGGTCCTGTCCCAGCACCCCGGGGTCAGGGTGCTCCTTCACCATTCTCCCGGATTCTTCTGCTCAGCTCCAGCCGGCTTGCCACCCACTCAGGATGGCTTACCTGGAAAGCCACATTGTAGTTTGGGGCAGAAATGACTGTGGCCTGAGTTGGCTCTCTATAACGCAGTGGGTACAAATGACCAGCGGAGGTTGGGCAGGTGCCAACTAGAAGCGTCGGGCTTTGGTACCCAGGGGATGATGTGATGATTTGCATTAGACAGTGTCTGTAGGAGGCCAGGGAGTTGGCTGGCTTCCTGAGCTGCTCCGAGGGGAGTCCTCAAAGCCCAGGGAGGGTTGCAGGGTCTGCGCTCCGTGAGATTGTGCGTCTAGTGGTGGGGGTAGGTCAAAGCAGACAGGGAAGCGCTCTAGCATAAGGCCGAGGAGCACGACTGTGGGAGGAGAAGAACACAGACTAGAAGAGCAGATGCTGAGCCAAGGGCGCTGGGAATCCAGCGGGTTCCATGGGCCTAGGCCTAGCGGTTTGTGAGTCATCACTTTTCACTCTGCCTACTTTATGGTGAGCTCTCGGAAAAGCCCCGGATTAGGAGGGACCTGAACAGCCTTTTGGCCGAAGGAGCTTGAGCTGCTGCCTCAATCCGGGGGACTCATTTTCCAGCAAGGAAACCAGGGTGTGAGCTGTCAAAGCCCACGGATTTGTGATCCTGAGTTTCACATGGTTCGAGCCTTGCTCTCTTGAGATGAGGTACAGCCTGATTTTTGGTGCTTTAGCAGGTCTCCTCGCGTGTTAGGTTCCCAGGCCCACGCCACATGCTTCCATCTTCATATCCCCACGTGGCGAGCATGACGGTCCTGAGCTTCGTGATGTCTGAATCCCAGGGAAATGCCGGCCCTTGTGAACCAGGACCCAGCCTGTGCTGATAAGTCAGTTTACACATTTCATGTAAAATCAGATCTTCTTATCTTTCTTTGCTGTTTCCAGAGGCACATTGAAGACCATGCTTACAGGAACTGCGGAGGAGGACGACGACGACTTAATGACAGAAGCAAAAGAGGCCCAAGATCCTGCTGCCGGGATGTGAGTTGTTCTGAGCGGCAGTGACTTAGACACGGAACAGAAAGGTGCTCTGTCACGAGTGAGGAAAGCCACCTGGAGCAGGGGCCAGTTCGGTGGGCCCACACCACTTGCTTCCATCTGCGTATTTTCACGTGGCGAGCATGACAGTCATGAGCTCCGTGATGTCTGAGTCCCAGGGAAATGCCGGCCCTTGTGAACCAGGACCCAGCCTGTGCTGATAAGTCAGTTTACACATTTCATGTAAAACCAGATCTTCTTCTCTTTCTTCGCCATTTACAGAGGCACATTGAAGACCATGCCTACAGGAAATGCGGAGGAGGACGACAACGACTTAAATGCCTTTGAGAAGTCCTCACTGGCCATCTCGTCACAAGCAGCCATAGTTCAGCATCATTTTGCTCCATTTTTTTCTTTCTTTTGCCTTTCTATTTTCTACCTGCTTCTTATAAGCACCACTCCATCCCTATTATACTTATGTAACAATAATAACTGACTAAATGCTTACTTTATATCAGGCATTATAAAAGCTTTTATGGATGTGCTTTCACTTGGCAGACATTTTCCCTACGTTGGTTTTGCCCCAAGTGTAGGACCAAACCTTGGAGCTTCATCTTTTTTAGTCCTCAAATAAACATTTCTTTTATTTAATATTCATTCATTTATTTATTTAGGCTAGGCAGTGCTAGCTCCTGGGCTTTGGCAGCAAACAGACTTGGTCTCTTTTCTCCTGGAACTCCACATTCAGGGCTGATAAAATTAACTTGTTAAATAAAGTCATTTCTGTCTTTGAGGGAATTTCCAGAGTTTATAACTATTTTTATGCTTGCTTCAATAAAAGACAACAATAAGACAAACAGCAAAATAAAACAAAAATATAAGATGCCACACAGCAGGACATGATGGCACAGGTACTTCAGACAGTGTAAATATGTTAGAAGCTGAAGAGACCACTTGTATTAAACCAGTGGGCCTTGAGGCACTGGATCAGATGTAGGCAGGGAAGACTGAAGTCGTATGAGAATAAACATAGTGGTTATGAGCAAGGCCTTCGGAGTTAGATAGATCCTGGGCTCAGATCCCAGCTCTGTCACTTAGCATGTGACTCTAGGGAGCAATTTATAATCTCTCTAAGCCTATATTTCCTCACCTGGAAAGCTGGGATAGTAATAGTGCCTTCCTCCAAGGGTGGTTGTAGGGATTAAATGGGGGAAGAAAGCAAACATGTGAATCTCAATAAGTAAGCAATGCCAGAAGTGTGATAAGTACCAAGCGGAAGTTCATGTATAAAGGGGGAGACTCTCTGAGGTCCTTACACTTTAACTACTTGTGAAAAGAATATCTTTGGAGACCTTACCATTTCCACAATGTGGTTTTTTCATGTACATTCAAGTTTTCTAGCAATTTGTAAGGTAGATATAACTACCACCACCTTCATTATTCAGAAGTGGATATTGAACTTCAGAGAGATTAAGAATTTTCACGTGGCTTCAAAGGAAATCTGGCCAAAACTTTGAATCCAGATCTTCTGGCTCCTAATCTTTTTATTTCTGTCTTAGAAGTAAATTATTCTCACAGAGGTGATAACCTGGCTTGACAACCAATAGCTTAGGCAAGAACTTTCACCAAGAGTAGATCGGGCATCTAAAGCTAATTCAGAAGTGGGAGTCAAACACAAAATTTGTGTACCTCAGGCCTCTAGAAATAATTGGCCAAATATAAGTTGATAGAAATGTGCACTAATATGGAAAAAATAACGTAGGTACCTCCTTACATGGAATACCATGGAGCCAATAGAATGAATGAGATACATCTATATGTACTGGCCTAGAAAGACTTCCACGCACCTTAAACAAAAGGGCAGACTGTGGAACAATATCCACTAGAGAGATGTTATAGGTAGTGTTTCAGAGAACAGACTTGACCCACTAAGTGATTCAGTCCTCACCACGTGGTCCCTTTTCCACACTATTACTCCCACAGCCTCCTTTCTCAACTCCCATTTTTCTTGGTCCTCATTATCTTTTCTCTTACCCACTCTCTCATCCAGTTTCCTCTCCTCTCCGCCTGCGGCTCCTATACCAGGAACCCTAGGAGCTCTTGTTTGTGGAAGCCAAGCACATGTGCTTCATAGACCAGGGAGTGTTTGCCCTGCCCCAGGATGAGTCCGAGAGAGTCATTGATCCCTGCTGCGCGCCTCCGGTGCCTGCACACTACCCTGGCTGCCCAGCCCATTTCTGCCCAGGTCACCTTGGTGCTCAACTAGGGAAGTTGTTGTTGAGTTTGCTGAGATCACATTCAGTGCCGGGTTTTCCTGTTCGCTTCTCTGGCTGTTGAGACTCCTCTGCAGGTGGCAATCCTGCTGTTTCCGCTCCGCCCTCCTAGTAAGGGAGTTTAAGCCAGATTTGCTTCAACTAGGAAACTGAGAATAAGAAAGCCCGCCCTTTCCCCTGAAAGGAGATAATGAGTTCCCTCCTCTCCGTGCTCCATGCTTCTTGGGTGAACTAAATTGCATACAAAACTCAAGTTGATAGTCGTGAACGAAGCTCCTTAAATAGTAATGATTAGTAGCAGCTAACCCTTACATTGAGCCTATGGCGAGCAGTCAACCTCACAACTTTGCCTATAAGGTAGGTCCATTTATTACCATTTTATTGATGAGGAGCCATGACCCAGAGAAGTTAAGGAATTTGTCCGAGTTCACCCAATGTTCATTTAGTGGCAGAGGCTGAATTTGAACCCAAGTAGACTGGCCGAGTATCCAGTACCACCAAGCACTGCCTTCTTCTGCCTCGCAGGAAGAAACCAGGCTAGGGGGAAAGTCAGTGTGCAGGTCAAGAAGCAGTTTATTGAGGCTTAGTTTCCTTTTACGTCAACTTTGGGAAATAGGAGAGAGATTGGAATGGAGACTGGAAAGAAGACCAAGAGGTTCTGAGCTCAGAAAACTGTGAAGTGGAAGAAGGTAGATTAGTTACAGGAATATATACAAGTATTTACATCCATTCTTAGACATATAAATATAATTTATTGAGGTGAAATTCACATAACATAAAACAAACCCTTTTAAAATGAACAAGTCAATGAACAAGTACATTCATACTGTGTAAGCACCACCTCTACTAATTCCGAAACATTCCCATTACCCTGAAGTAAAACCACATACTCATGAAGTGGCTACTCCCAATTCCCCACTCCCCCCAGCCCCTGGCACCACCAATCTATATTGTCTCTATGGATTAGATGTTCTGAATTTGCATATAAATGGAATCATACAAAATAGAATCATACAATAACAAGCCTTTGTGTCTGGCTTTTTTAACTTAGCATAATGTTTCTAGGTTCCTCTTTATAAGGAGCATATATAGGTACTTCATGCTTTTTGTGGCTGAATAAAATTCCATCATATGTACATAACACAATTTGTTTATCCTTTCAGCCATTGATGGACAGTTGGACTGTTTCCATCTTTTGACTATTATGAATAATGCTACTGTGAACATGTACATATATATACTTGTTTGAATACCTATTTTCAGTTCTTTTGCATCTATACCTAGGAGTGGTTATTGTAGGGACATGATGTAATTCCATGTTTAACTTTTGAGGAACTCTCTACAACTTTTTGAAACTCTTCCTTAATACTATAATACTATTAATACTATAAATAATATTAAGGCATATATTAGATATTTTAAATCAGAGTGTTGAAATTTGGGGCCAGAGAAACTTCGTAGCAATCCTGGCCTCTACTCAGTAGATGTCAGCAGCATCCCCCTCTCTCCCCTCTTTGTGAGAAGTAATAATGTCTCCAGACATTGCCAGATATCCCCTGGGAGGCAAAATTGACATCCTTCCCTCTGAAAATCACTGTTTTAAAGGATTCCCTGTAAACTTGAAACAAATCAAATGCTAAAGCAGAATACTAAAACAAAGTAAGGGCCTTTAAGAAATAGACATTCCACCGAAGCCGGTTTGGCTCAGTGGATGGAGCGTCGGCCTGCGGACTGAGAGGTCCCAGGTTTATAATAATTCCGGTGGAGGGCATGTACCTTGGTTGGTGGCACATTCCCAGTAGGGGATGTGTAGGAGGCAGCTATCGATGTTTCTTTCTCATGGATGTTTTCATCTCTCTATCCCTCTCCCTTCCTCTCTGTAAAAAGTCAATAAAATATATTTAAAAAAAAGAAATAGACATTCCTTTCAAGTTTGCAGACAAGAAATACTTTTTGTTTACTATGTTATGTTAAGGAGGTTGTATGTGTGACAACCAGAAATTTTTTTTTATCATTATATATTCATATAACTTTCATATGCATCATTAAAACCATAAATCTAACTCATCCACGAAACTCCAAGAAATACAGGTTTTCACCACAGTGTGCATTTAATACTAAATCACATTTATAGCAGACTGTATCACAGAATTTTTAAGGTGGCAACTAGAAGGAAGATTTTGCAAGATATTTTTATATGGTAATATTTATTATTTCACATGTAAACTCAGACAGAGCCCATAACGAATTTCCTATTTGGTTTAGCCAAATAATGAAAAGACAAATGCTGATTTTCATTACTGGCATACAGTGAAAACCAAATTATTTTTTCACATGTACTGTTAAAGACATGGTGAGTTGGTTGTTAAAGTGGGAACTCTTGACTACATAAATACCTTTACCATCAAAAGTCTGTCAAGATTAAGACTGTCATGAAAATGGACCAGCCTTAGGCACACACAGCATTGGTGTAGAATTCACAGCAGTTAGCAAGGGCTATGGCACTGAACTCTTTATTTTCCCATGGACCAGAAAAAGAAGGAGCGTTGGTGCCATTCAGAGTACTGAAATGAAAAGCCAGAGAGATACATAGTGGGTCAGATTTTAAAGAAAATTCAACAAGACATATCAATAAGTTCTGGGGGTGGGATGGGGGGAAAGACCTATAAATGGATCCAATTGCAATGACCAATTAAATAGGACATAATTAAGTATATTTTCTCATTCATGCCCAAGATAAGACTTGTATATAAGCATCTATTTCCACCCCTCCTTAGATACATGCTCCCCCCCCCCCCCCCCCCCCCCAGTCCCAGGCAACCACCACTCGACTCTGTTTCTATAGGTTTGGCTTTAAAAACATTTTTTTAATTCTACCTATAAGTGATACCATGCAATATTTGTCTTTGTCAATCTTATTTCACTTTGTTTAATGCTTTTAAAAATACCAGGATTTCTTTCTTTTATAAGGATAAATTTTCTGTATCCATTCATCTGTCAGTGGACACAGAGGTTGTTTTCATACCATGGCTACTGTGAATAATGCTGCAATCAACATGGGAATACAGATAGTGATTTCATTTTCTTTGGATATATACCCAGAAGTGAGATTGCTGGATCATGTGGTAGTTCTATTTTTAATTTATTTGGGAACCTTCATACAAGTAGGGGATTTTAATATTCCCATTTGGTAATGGATAGATCATACAAACAGAAAATCAACAGTGAAACATTGGATTTAAATTATATGATATACTATCAATAGATAGACTACCATACATTTACAGAACAATCCATCCAACACCAGAATACATTCTTCTCAAATTACACATGAAAATTACCTGATAGGTCAGATGCAAGGCAACAGAACAAGTCTTAATAAATTTGGGAAGATTGTATTACTATCTGTTTCTTGTAAGGCTGATCTAGTGATAATGAACTCTATCAACTTTTGCTTGTTTGGAAAACACTATTTCTCCACTTCTGAAAGACAACTCTGCCTGATAAAGTATCCTTGGTTGGCAGTTTTTTAGTTTGAATATATTATCCCACTCCCTTCTGAACTACAAGGTTGCTGGTGAAAAATATGCAAATATGCTTATGAGAATTCCCTTGCACAAAGTGAGTTATTTTTCTTTTGTTGATTTTAAATTCTCTTTGTTTTTAACTTTTAACAATTTAATTATGTGTCTCTGTGTAGGTCTCATTAGTGTCCCGAATGGGGAGGTTTGCAGTCAGCACCTGAATGCAGGCTAATTAGAAGCTGGATCCTTAGATACCAGCTTGGGAAAGTATGCAGTCAAATTCTTTTCAGGGAGAAACTGGAAGATGGGCATTTGTGCCTGCTCCCTCTGTGCTGAACCCTGGGTGTATAGCTATTGAGGGTTGCTTCTGTGCTCATTTAAAAACTTCATCTTTGTTGGCTAGATTTCCCACTGGAAATTGATTTCCAGTGCAAGCCCAGTTTACTGCCAGAGATAGGTGATTTGGGGCCTGTCCCTTAAGTGGCAGCCATAAAATTTGGGGCATTAGATGTGTGTACATGCTCCTTCCAGGGAGATACCAGAAAATTGGTTTTATTGTTGGAGGGAGAAAGTGGGCTCCAAGGAGGATCACAGTCATCCCATAGATACATGCTAATTAGAAGCTAGACACAGGGGACTCCTGAATGCAAGCCACATTGGTTATCAGAACCAGGTGATCTGGGGGCTTGTCCCTTGGGCAGCACCACAAACACTGTGGCACCTAAGTGTATAAAACTCTTCCCAGAGAAATGCTGATGACCTGGTTTCATCACGGAAGCGAGCCTGAGGGAAAAGGTCAGGGAAGTGCCCATGGGCTTGTTTGGGTTCTAGGGAGGATTGCAGTGAGCACTTAGTTACATGCTAATTCGAAGCAACAGACCAGGCTGCTGCTTTAGAAAGTCTGCTGTCAAGCCCTTTCCTGGGAAAGACTGGGAGATGAGCAATTTTGCCAGTTCCCTCTGTACTGAGCCTTGGAGGAGAGCCACAATGAATGCTCACCACCTGTTAAGAACTGCTCTTGGTTTGCTATAGTTCTGGGAGACTCAGAAACCTAAGCCCCATATTATTTCAGAGCTAAGTGTTTGGGGACCTGCCCCTCAGGTGGGGAGCCTTAAAAGTTGGTGCCCTAAATGTGCAAACCCTTCCCTCCTCTGGGAGAAGTTGAGTTGGGAGTCCCCTCAGTTGTATAATTCTGTGCCAGGGGTGGGGTTTATGGTAAGACTGTGTCTTAACCTTTCCTACCCAATTCAATGTGGGTGTTTTCTCAGTTTCCCAATGTGTAGGAGTCACTCAGCTAGTTTCTGGTTCTCTCAAAGGGAATTACTATGAAGCTGTACATTCAAATCTTGGAGGAGGGAAATTCAGGAGCCTCCTCTATCACCATCTTGGTCTGGAGTCACTCAAAACTTATTTAGTATAAACACATTGGACAAAAACATGATCTCTTTTAGAATCTAGACGCTAATGACACTAAGTAAATGACTATAGACAAAAAGTCCATTGCAGCTGTAGAGGCAGAAATGAGCAGGAAAGAGTATTCTGTTCATTTATCAGTGAAGTTCAATGGAAAGATAACTCATTGTAAAACAAAAGTTAGCAGTTTTCACTTTATTCATTTACTTTAGATTGTGCTTACAATGAAATCCACTGGACTGGCACAAGAACATAGGAATCAAACAATATCACTTTTAATTCATTTTTAATAGTACAATAAAGGGATTATTTTTCAAAGATTGTTGGTTGCCTACTCTGATGATAACCTCCAAATACAAGAGGGTAACATCTGTTTACTCAGCATAGTAACTTGTTAAGTAGCCAGCACCCAAACATCTGCATAAATAGTGAACAGATCAACTATTTAATGATAACTTCCAAATATATCTCCCACTCTGATTTCTCTCCTGAACCCCAGATCCTAGCTGACTTGCAAGTAGCATCCATGGTGGTCCCACAGGTACCTCCAAGTCAACATATCCAACTGAATGAAACTAAACCATAATATTTCCCCTTTATTCCCACTCCTGAAACTGGTCCTCCTCTCAGTGGACTAGTGTCATCTCTTTTAGACCCTTTTTCAAAAGCTACAAAGAAGACAATCACTTGAGGCTCCTTTCCCTTTCCTACCCCATCCTTCCCTCCTATCTAGCGATGACCAATCCCATTAATTCTCGTTGGTCCAGTGCATCTTCATTCCCATAACCACTTAGTATCAGCTGTTACCATTTAGTCACTTAGACTATTATATTAATGTGTTTATTGGTCTCCCAGACCTCTAAATGGTTATAAGAATTATCTTTTAAAAAATCTTAACATGACAGTGTTCAGAATTCTGTAAGTCAAGATCTAAATACCTTAGCATTTCATACAAGGCCTTTTAAGATATTTTAGCCTCATCTCCCAGAACTATCTGCATTGTCTTCAGTACTCTCTTCACTCACCCATATATCACTACTGTATATATCTTTTATTTTGGCAGAACTAAACATTCTAGTTCTTCAAATCTTTCTTTCTGTGTATCCTATAACTATTTCTTTTAGCTTATATATGCTCCCTTTTTCCCCCTCCTGGCTTCTTTCAGTATGTTTCTTTATCTCTGATCTTCTGTATTTTGAAAATATGCCTAGGTGTAGTTTTTTGCCATTTATCCTGCTTTGTGTTCTCTGAGGTTCCTGGATCTTTGGCTTGGTGTCTGACATTAATTTGGGAAAATTCTCAGTCATTATTATTTCAAATATTTTTTTCTATTCCTTTCTTCTCAGTTTGTTGGAGCATCATTTCTTATACTGAAAGGTGGAGGGTTCAATTCCAGGTCATGGCTTATACCCAGGTTGTGGGTTCAATCCCAGTCAGAGCACATATAGGAGGCAACCAATCAATGTTTCTCTCTTTCTTTCTGTCTTCCTCTCTGTAAAATCAATTTTAAAAAACATATCCTTGGTGAGGATTAAATTAAAAATTTTAAAAAACCAACAGCCTGCCAGTGTGGCTTAGTTGGTTGAGCATCATCCCATGCACCAGGAGGTTGCTGGTTTGATTCCCTGTCAGGGCACATGCCCAAGTTTCGGACTTGATCCCCAGTAGGAGGTGTACATGAGGCAGTTGATCAATGATTCTCTCTTATCATTGATGTTTCTATCTCTTTCTCCCTTTCCCTTCCTCTCTCTGAAATAAATTAAAAAACAAACAAACATATTTTTTTAAAAAGCAGACATAGATACAGAGAGCATTTTGACAGATGGGACAGGGGTTGGGAGAATGGGTGAAAAAAGTAAAGGGATTAAGAAATAAAAATTGCTAATTATAGAATAGTCACAAGAGTGTAAAGAACAGCATAGGGAATATAGACAATAATATAATAGCCATGTATGGTGTCGGATGGGTACAAGATTTATCAGAATGACCACTTAGTAAGTTATATAATGTCTAATCAGTGGATTGTACAACTGAAAGTAATATAATTTTGCATCTCAACTGTAATTGAAAAATAAAAATTGTTTAAGAAAATAACTCATAGAAAACTAAGACTCAAATGGAGCACCTGATAAAGTGATTGTGTTTGACCATATACTGTTCTACTGTTCTACAGACCAACTTCTCAATAGCATCTTTTTTGTCATACATGTATCTACTCTAAGACCCAGCAATTCTACTCCTGGTATTCACCCAAAATAAATAAAAACATGTGTTCACAACAACAAAAACAGAGTCTCTGGTATGTTTTTAAATGGTTCCTTTTCCTCTTCACCCAGGGAGGGGAAAAGGGAACCATTTTGAAGTACACCATAACTTCAACTCTTTTTCTTTTTTTATTTACTGTGAGAACCTGGTCTATTTCCTGGAGGTAAAAGTCACAAAAGTGTGGGGTGCCTCCTATGACTGTCACTTCCACCCCTACCCAAGTTTTTAACATTCAGACTTGTCCTCACTATGCCTCCAGCAATTACAGTTTCAGGTTCTCCTACCCCTGCATGGGTTGGTTTCTGCAGCAGTTTCCACTCATGAGTCTCTGCTCCAATAACTGTATT